TAATTATTAAAGAACTTAAAAGCCTATTANTAAAAGCCGGGTCCTGCTATTCGATCGTTCGACTTTTTATATTTCATGTAATATTTAGTTCAGGAGGATAACTGTTCTTAGGCTAATTGATATTGTAATGTTCGTGGGTTTAACAAAATTAACTTTTAAGACTGATAACGACAAAACTATTTATTTACACTAATTATTAAAGAACTTAAAAACACTATTAAATTATTACTAATTAGGTTATGAATTATTCTATTTATTTACACTACTGTTGTTATATCACTATTCACTGCGCTATTTATTTCACTGTAATCCCTGTCAATTTATTTCTGGATTCACTTCTGCAACGGTCAATTTATTTCTACTACTCTCGGCGATCGTCTCTTCCTTTAAATACTGTTTTGTTTCCTTTCTGAAACCCTCTAGAAACATCCGGATCGTTTGTTTTTTTCTTTGAACTGTTTAACTGCTTTCCCAGAACGCAGGTACGACACACACATTTACAAATACGGCGCACATGAAGAAAGGTGTCCGCGGCTAGTCGGCGAATCGATAAGCCGTCCACGCACACAAACACACTCGTGCTCGCTACAATACCTATATTTCATGTGGATCTCTAGTCGATGTTATTTCGTTTAAGATTAATAAGACTCGGTCAAATGGGCAGACGAACAAATGCAGAGCATTGACACAACAGTTAAGGTTCCGTTATAACCGTTGGATGAGGAACTCTAATAATCGGGTTGGAAATTTTATCAAAATTCAATTACTATTTCGCTCCAAAAATAATTAAATAAGAGTTTTTGAATTATTTCTCCCCTTATATCATAAATATAAAAAAAATGGTAACGTATTTCACAGTTTATAGTTAGAAAAAGAAAAAAAAAACTTTCGTATAAATTTCGTCCTTTGAAAAGAATTTTACAAAGCAGCCTCTCTCGGCATTTCATAGCGTTTGACGTTAACGTCTTCGACTTAAACACCGATTCTGGATGAAAAAGAGTGATTTAAAAGGGTGCTTTCGAGAAAGAAACTTTTAATCTGCTTCCTTTCTTTTTTTAACTTTACGCGTACCGCATCGTAAACACAAACCTCGACCGCTCCGCGTGCCAGAGCTTCAGCGCGCTAATGACCAATTTTTCCGGCAACAGGAAACGAACGAATCCCACGGGCGTCAAATACATTAAGGACCCTAATGTAAATACAAAATAAGCAGCAGCAACGGCAACTATGCATACAACAGGCAGCCCTTCATCGCGTCCCCCCGGACGTCTCACCGCTCCATTTCGTTTCGTTTAGTTGGCCGTGTTGCTTTTGTTTGTCGGCAGGAGCAGAGTTGCCACCAGCACAACCAGCAGTTCCTATTTAGGTCGTGTGGTGGCGCTGACGTTGTTTCCTCCGACAATAGGAAGTACATTATCTCGTTTTACCACGCGCTTAATGTTATAAATTGAGTTTGTTTGCTGTGTAACGGTTGCGAGTCCGAATCGAGCCGTCATCCACCATGAAAGAACACACAACGGTGATGAAAGAGATGGAATTACACCACCGCCAGATACTCATCTATGGCGGAATAGGTTAATTTACTTGTAAATGTGATTTTCGAAATACCAGAGTTGCAGTTCACTCTAGTAGAAACTTCTTCTAGTTTATGTACATTGTACATGGTATTATAAAAGTACAAACAATCATTACTGAAATCGTAAAATTTTTGGGGAGAGAAACTGCTCGAAGTTAAACGAGAATCAAAGAAATCCTTCATTATAATCCTTTCTGGACAATGTAAAATTTCTAGCAATTCGAACAATTGTATTCGGTAAAAGCGTGGATCGGAACATTGGTTGCATTAACTTTTAAACCTTCTCTTCCATGATCACTCAGTAATAATAATGAGTAAAATTTCGACCTGTTTGCTGACCTCGAATCCAAATGTAAAAAGTAGGGTAAATGATAGCTTATAGTTTAACAAAGGCTACAAGTTGAAGATAATTTTAATTTCCTTTTACTATTGTTAATATTGGATCCGTAATTTTTGAATTGTTCTACAATAATTGGCATCTTTAATAGAAAATATATTTAGTAGTTGCTTGTTGAAGCATTTTTTGTTTACCTATTTACACTATCTCCTCTTTAATTTTTAATTTTATAGCGAAAGGTGTTTTAGTTGTAAGCAGGCGATGCCATGCAAATTTACATCAATTTTCGATTTTTTTGTGAGGTTATGTTGTCATGTCTCTCACTTACACCGACAAGTTCCGCCATGTTGAATGTTCCGTTACTTTTTGACAGCTGCTTTGCTTGTACGTGTTCGATTTTGGCTTATTAAAAAAAAACGGATCAAAGTGTCTGTATCAAATTTTATGTGAAAAACAAAATTAAGTACGCATACGCATTCCGAATGTTGACTATGGTATATGGTGAAACTATGTTGAACGGAAGCAACGTTTATCGGTGGTGCAAAATGTTCTTAGAGGGCCGAGGAGATGTGATCGATGAAGAGCGTGCCGGACCCTCGAGTACGTCAACAACAGACGAGAACATTAATGAAGTGAAGAAAATAGTATTGATCAATCGTTGAATCAGCGTTAAAGAAGTTGCTGAGGACTTCTGCCATTTGATTTTTACCAATAATTTCAGCATAAGACTGATCGCCGCGAAATTCGTACCAAAATTGCGCAATTTTGACCAAACACAGCATCGCATTAACATTGCTAAGGAGCTGTTGGACTGTGTCCGAGACTACCCAAATTTACCCCATAGGATCATAGCTGATGACGAATCATGGGTTTATGGTTATAACGTAGAAACCAAAGTCCAATCATCCCAATGGAAGCTGCCGCACGAGCCAAGACCGAAAAAGGCGCGCCAAGTTACATCGAATGTAAAGGTTTTGCTTACATTTTTCTTGGATTACAGGAACGTGGTGCATTATGAGTTCTTACCGCAGGGTAGAACAATCAATAAGGAATATTACCTGCATGTTATGCGCAATTTGTACGAACCAATCCGCCAGAAACGCCCGGATTTGTGGAAGAACAAAAATTGGCTTTTGCACCATGATAACGTCTCTGCTTACACATCGTTGCTTGTGCGCGAATTTTTGGTCAAAAACAACAGGCTAATAATGCCGCAGCTACCATATTACTGAGATCTGGCCTCCTCTGACTTTTTCTTGTTCCCGAAACTGAACAGGCCCATGGACGAAGCTATGCTGCAATTGAGGAGATAAGGGATTAAATAGATATTCATGAATAAATAAGTAATTTTTGATAAAAGTTCGCGATAGTTTTTGAACATTTCTAGTATACTATATGGCTTATACACGCGTACATCCGCATCGTACAAATTTCTTAGCTCTATTCGACTAGATGAGGACTAGGTAATTTATTCGCTTTTTTTAATGGCCTTTTAATTTGTCGAGCACTCCGATAACGAGGCTTTAACGATTCAGCGATAAATTTGATAGATAATAGAATTATAATGGAGTGAAATTAGTTTCCTGTGAAATTTTCATTTCCTTTCTGAACATGAAGATGGGTTACCTAATTGATATTGACTTATTGTGTCAGAAGGATTAGCTTCAATTAGAGTCTACTGAAATTTCCAATAACTGTTCATTTAATTTTCAATAATTTCAATGAAAGTGAACGTAAATCAACTATTATTGCCATAGAAAACAACTATAAATACGACGATAATAGAAGGAGTTGTTAGTTGGAGTTAGACTGGTTGGACAGACACCCCCACTCCTTCCTACATTCTGAGTTCATTTCTCGTCAGATAGGAACGCCCATTACCCAATCTTTAACTACAGTAATTTTAATTTAGATCTTCATCTGCCTCCTCTTGCTCTTATTTCTGCTAGTGTCCCACAATTATATCCTTTCTTTTTTTATTGGTTACTACAGCACCTTTTGCTCTCCTATATTTTCCAATAATTTCTCATTTCTGACCTCTTTTAATATTTACGACATTTTCATAATTCGTCTGTAACATTACATGTCGAGCGCCTCCAACATTTTCTTTTTTGCATAATGCTCCCCATTTGTTCATACTTCTTTAATAATTTTTTTAAATTATTCAAATTAACCATTTTCTCGACGACTTCTTCCAGTTTTACGTTTCTGATATTTTCACCTCTGCTGCATTCTAATTCTTTTGTTTTATTTTTATAAATGTTCATTCCGTGTGTATCTTCCAATAACGCTTCAATTGCATTTAGAGCTATGTCTAGCTCCTTTTTGCTATATGCTCTTTCGTAAATCCCAAATTGCTAAGCCATTACCCTTGTTTGCAACTATTATATTGTCAGGGGTACAGAAAAGCACATATGGTACCTATTATACAGAAAATAATATTACTCCCGAGGGATAGATAAATTAATAAAATAAAAACACTTGGAGTTTACAATCTTCACTGCCTGAAGAAGACACAGTGTGTCGAAATAATTATAGTGGTTATAATAAATTATTTGTAAACTCCAAGTGTTTTTATTTTATTATTTTTAAATATGGAGTTACATTACTTGAAAGCTTCATCGATTCAATTTTTCGATAGATAAATTAATTTTACAACTCATTTCAAACGGTTAGAGATGTGACCTTGGGAAAACCAGTGCGAATAGAACGAATACACACCAGGCGTGAGCAAGACGGGATTAGTTTGAATTTTGTCACGGCGCGGCGCATTCATGTAAAGGAAAAGCTCTAACCGTTTGAAATGGGTTGTATGTGGTCGTTCGGCATATCAACGTATTTATAAATAAACTTACAACTAATTTCAATGGTAAATGTGATTTGCTTTTTGACAAATATACTCCAAAAGATGAAAGTGGGATTTGCTCGCCAGGGATAAGGTTTTTGTTTTGGCTGCGACTTTGACACAATTGCAAAGCCAACGTGAAAGGAAACTTACAATAAGTAATTGAGTTTAAAGGATTAAAAGGTTTAAGCATATGATGATGTGCCATTATTTCTATTAATTATTACTATTCTCTATTTCAGTTTGCATGGCTTGGCCCAGTTTAAATGAATTGGAAGAAATTCAAAATAAAAAGCCACCGACATTTGTAACACCGGGACAGACGTACAGAATAGCAACGGGTAGCACTGTTGTGTTGCCTTGTCGAATATCAGATCCAGGTAAGTTTATAGATATTTTATACTATACTTTGTCACCGAATTTAAGAAGTTTAAAAAGGTGATTTATAAAATATGCAAAAGTCATTCGAATGTGCCTATGTTTTATGCTCGAGGCCAGTTAAGTTAGTAATTCAAAACCGATTATTAAGTGTATATGTTTTGAGCACGGTAGGTACTGTATGAGGATAAACGTGGACGCTGGGAGCTGCAGAAAAAGGAAACAGAAGTGTTTAAGATGTGGTGTTGTAGGGGTATGTTAAAGATAAAAAAGATTACAAATGAGGATTTATTAAAAGGAGTATCAGTTTACTTTTGCTTGTAAGAACTTCCGAATATATCGACGAACTACTGTAATTTTGTCGTTATACCCGAAAAAATAATTTTTGGGTGTTTCATTCCCACCAGTCAGTAATGCTGAATGGATGGGTGGTGGTTCGAGTGAGAAAGTTGAGACGGACGAAATGAAGACAGAAGAGAATAAAAGATTATCTGTGGAATATGACTACCTTAGTGATCCAAGGAAACCACAGAAAAACTTGGCAGATGGACCTGGAATCGAACCGGCGTCCTCCCGTATGCTAAGCAATAGTCTAAACCTCTGTAGGTAAACTGTACCTATAAATACATTTTTATTAGTCAAATATCATGTCACCCAATGAACCGGTCTTTCTCCACTTCTCTTTAATCATCCGCCTTTAAGCATAAAATACGGTATTTATTGATATACCTGGTCGGTTCTTGTAAAATATACTTTGGTGTAGTTCAGAGCATGGTCATTTAAGTAAAGGATTATCCTGTAAGATATGTCCGAGTAACTTTGGCGATTAGCAGCGTGACAAGTGCAAGATGAAATTTCAAAATTGGGCAACTTAATTTTGACTTCAAAGGCTGTATAACATTAAAAATAATAAAGAAATTAAGCACTTCTTGAAGCTGAGATTATAGTTAGTTTAGGTTGCCCTGATTCTCTCGGATTATACGTACAAGTTTGCTCCTGCATCACGCTGGCGTGGTAGCGCATGGAAGTTACTCGGGTGTATATTACACGACAACACCGTGGCTGACACCGAACAGCATAGCCTATAGGATTAGGTCATTCCATAGCACTATTCTGGAGGTACTGTCAGCCTACACATCAGTAGCCGGTGAGAAGAAAGTTTCTTTGAGGTTATCTTAAATGAGATGATGGACACCGCCCCTGATTTACCTTGATAATTTTTAATACTTTTAGGCCTGAAGCTGGTGACTGGTGGAGTTCTCTGATTTTATAGCGTGTCGTTTTGTAGGCTGATAAATATTTATCTCTTAATAAGAAAGATAAAGAGATTCCTGACCGATGTAGGCTTTCAGGTCATAGTGGAAAATAAATTTTTTTTAGAAACAATTGTTTCTTAAGTGATATCAAATTGCATGTCTTTGTAACGTAAGATGTTTAGATGTGATTGAAGGCGTAGTATGCAATCCACAACAGTCCAAAAGGGCACCATCGGTCGAGTGTCGATCTATTTGTAACAAAAATAATATAAAATTCCGTGTTATCGTTGGCTTAAGGCTGGAAAATTCTAATTTTAATTTGAGATCACAGCTGACTCCCCCTTTTTATACTTCATTTCCTTTCTCTAGCGATGTGCCTCTTCCAATGTGCGCGCTGGCAAAATCGTAGGTAGGGAGAAAAAAGCTCATTATACTCTCGACTCTTGTTCATTAAACATACTTTTTCACACAGTACCTGCGAAAAATTTTGTTCAATCAAGAATAGTAGTGCGAGTCGAAAACAAGCGTTAAGGCCTTTAATATGTCTTCAAACACAAATAAACATCTAGTTGAGATTTTCTGTAGTAAATGGTACCAATAGCAGCACATTTGAGCAATGCAAGTGTAGTGGATAAAATGTTCATTTTTTCCGTACAGTACTGTACGGATTATACGCTCCTCACCGGTTAAGAGTTTGGCCGAGAGTTGTCTCCTTCCTTTTTTGGTCTAGTGCTGTTCTTTTTTACTTTGCGCCGGACAAACTGAAGGTCACATCGCTGCAGAAACTAAACGAATTATACCAACGAAAGGCACCTACATGCCATTTCTTTTTAGAGTTTTACAACTGAAACATCCTTTCATTTTATCGGTATGTAGGTAATTTGAAAGTACGGATTTTTTATTTTTTAGAACTTCGCGAATAGGAATAAAAGCGTCTGTGTTTTCAAATTGCCTGTCACTAAAATGAAAGCAAATTTTATTCATTCTTGTAACAAAAATAACAAAACACCTTTAAATGGCACAAGAGTGGAAAAACTAGCTGTGATCGTGAACTATCTTAAATGAAAATGAAAATTTCTCACCTATATGCCAACTAAGGGTGCTTTTGGCATGCAATTTGAAAACATGGAATTTTGTAGTATTTTCAATCGTTCGAGCGCTTTGAACTATTGTGGATTGCTTGCCTTTCAGTACTAGGCTTTTGCCTTTTACATTCAACATCTTTCGTTACAAAAGCACGCAATTTGATGTCAGATGACCGAAAGACAAATTTTTTTAAAAAACAGGTACAAGTTTAAATTTTAAAATGACCGGAAAACGTGCATCAGTTAAGAACCTAAATTAAGAGGTAAATTATCAACCGCCAAGAAGGGTATGCGTTATAAAATTGGCGAACGCCACATGAGACGAGGTCCTGGTCTATTTTAAAAGATGAGATCTTATGAAATTGCTTTTCTGTAGCTTCCTTGTATCTCTTATGCAATATATTTAACCCTGATAGATTCTTAGGTGCTTATTTTCTGTCATTTTAGCGCAAATGCGGCTAATTAGATAAAGGAATTTTCATAAGACATAAGGTATCGTTTTGGTTTCAGTTGCATATTTTTGAGAAGGGTGCAGCTCAAATCCTCCCTGTCCCTATGACGTCAGTTAATTCCATCTTAGGAATTCAAGTAAATTGTGCACGCTTATGTCTACAACGTTTTTTTCTGTTATTTTCTTCTTCAATCTTTTCCGGAACCAACAAAGTAACCATCCATGTCGCCCGTCGCCCGAAGAGTTTTGTCCACCATAAACTCATATCTCGCATGTTGCCGCAGCTAATGTTTCACGAGATTAATAATCCGAAGTACTTAAACACCTCCATACAAATTTCACCTCGTGAATGTTTGTGTACATGTTTATATGTGACACATAATGTCCCATTTGAATGCTACTCAGTAACAAGTTTCCCGTGTGCATTGTTAAAGAGAAGTTATCACCAAGGCGCTCGCCCTTGCACTTCCTGGATAAATTACGGAACAAGTTTGTCTGCTGGCAACCCTGCTGTGAGCCATTGGAATATTTAAGCTCGTAGAAGCATTCCCCAAGCAAGCTCTGTAACGCTAAGATGATAAGTCCACACTGTTAGTAATCTGCGTTGACGGTCGCGGGCTTGTATAATGCATATTTATATATATATACACCTTCAAGAACATGCCCTTTAGTCGTTAATTGCTCCTTGTACATCACATTTAGGATTTGATAGGAACAATTTTATCCAAAAGCTGACTCAGGAAAAAAGGGGTTCTGATGTAGCAACGGTTATTCTTCCAAAAGTCCATTTGAAATTGAATTAGTTAAAATATAGTTTAATATTATTCATTATCATTTTACTAATATTTTGTATTTGATATGTACGCGTTGGACTATTATACAGGCACACACAGGGTAAAGCGTAAACCAACCATATAAAATACAGTAAAAGCTCTTTATTCGTGGGGTGTACGTTCGATAAATATGCCGCGAATACAGAAACCGTGGATATGCAATGGTAATTAGTATGGAATCATAAGGGATACGTTCTAAGGTTCCAAAATAAAACCAATATGTATCAAAATAAAATCAATTCATTGAGAAATTCGCAATTAAAATTAATAGTTATAATCACTTTTAGACAAGGGTTTAAAAAATTTAGTGATTTTTTCTTGTTTTGAATTAGTCCACTCGGTTACATCTTTTATAAAAGTCGTTTCGGCACGAGCCAACAGTACTTAAAAAATGCCGATACGTTGAAAAATAACACTGAATCCTTTTCTATTTACTCGGTTACATCTTTTATAAAAGCTGCCTCGTCAAGTACCAACATAACATACTAAAAAAAAAAAGATACATTAAGGGGATTCAGTAGTACATGCTTATCGTTTCTAGATATCTTGAGTTTAATGTTTGGAACAGAGGTTTGAAATTTTGTAGTAAGATAGATAAAGCTTTTTTCTAAAGCCTGCCGAAGACCATTTTTAAATTTTTTAATTTCTATTGAAAGTACGTGTCCTACAAGAAGCATCAACTTTAAATACTTGTAAAAGCTTTTACTGAACCTTTCATTGAAAACCATAAACGTACCGAGTTAGTGTGAACCTTTGTCTGTTACTATACAAAAAAATCACATATTTATCTCGCAGCGTTAAATCATTCATCTATTGCGGTCAATTCCCTCAATAAATGACACCGAATTCTTTTCTGTTTACCGATTGCATCCGCGAATAATGAAATTTTAGCCGCGAATACAGGAACTGGGTTGCAATTTTTTCACCCGCGAATAAGGAAACCGTGAGTAAGGAACTTTTACTGTATTAACAATAAGTCTTTCCACAAGGCAGTAAGAAAGCTTTGACACCATAATCCGCGGTGCTATTAGAATCTGGAGCGTATAGTTGGGACGATCAAAATTGACAAAATTATCCGAAATAAATTATTTGTAAGAGTGGACGTTTCTTCTTTTTTGTTTTCACTTGGGAGTGTAGTTATTTGTTGCGTTTTGAACACGCCCTTGTTAAGTTAGGAAATGCTCATGAGGAGTACAGACAAAATGAAAAGAGATAACTGAATAACAGTGTGCGACGCAGAGGTTAGAGATTGCTTAGGTACGCAAAAGATCAGGGTCGGCTTTATAATTGCTTGGTTGGAATTATATCTTTAAATAAGAGTCTTTGCTTTCTTAAATTCCTGAGAATGTTGAACTTTCTTTAAAGTCCGATGCTGGTAACATGCTCAACATGGACATCAACTGGTGTCCGCTGCAATTCCTACCTGACATCTCTTTTCTATGTTTACGATATTCCCTATAAAGTGCGTCGTGAGTTAAAGTAGGCGTTCTCTTGGCAACCGCTCTAGTCTGATTAGTAAATTGAAAGAAGAAGTTTTAAGTTTTATATCGGACTATGCTAATTTTGAAAGTCCCAACTATATTCATCTATTTTTCCTGAGCAAACTACAGCGTGTGACGTACGACATCCATATCACAGTTGTAGCTTCAGACGTCTACTGAAGCACAAACATAAACGTGCAGGTAATTTGGATGAGATTCACGGAAAAATAAGCGAAGCGACAGTCGGTCTTTCAGTTGAAATGTTAGAATCACAGACATAGAGAATGGACTGATTTCTATCCAACTGTAAAGTAAATACGGGCAGAAATGTGAGAGAGACAGAGCAAAGCGATCATGCAGCCGGTTGTTGCCTCTTTCCATGCTTTTTACTGGCTTACAGCATAGAGACCGTCGATCGTTTTATCACTTTCTAGGGAGCAGACAAATTCATAAGGGTATTGCTCAGTTGTCTATGGTTAGAATGCACTCTTTAAATATTTTGCAACACTAGGATACTGTATGGCTAAAGAAAGAGGTTTACCTGAGCGTCTATTTTCATTGGAATTATTATTTGCTTTCTTGTGATATTCATAATTAACATTGTTTACAAAGAAATAGCAGTTTTATTTCAGATCACTCGACAAAAAAAGCTATTAAATTGTTAAACTACAACAAAAATAGAACATGTGTGTGTTCCAGCCCAACTAATTAATCTAGACCTAGCGTCTATGCGGTTATGTAGGCATAATGTAGATATACCTAATTTAGACAAAGTGATTATTAGGGAAGAATTTTATTTCTGCTCATTTTCTTAGATAATATTCTCTTTTCGCTTCATTCAACGTTAGACTATGGATCAGCAGCAGTTTCGATTGGAGGTATTCGGCTGGAACGGTCTATGACATGCTGATGAAGACAGACAAGCAAATTCATAATCCAAGCTTAGTAGTTTAAACAGAGTCATATCGGAGCTTTTTAAGACCATAATTGCAAACTTACTGCTATTCAACTATCTATAAAGATAAAACATTAAAACTTATTTGCAATAAATTCAAATAAACAACAATTAAACCCAATATATAAATATATGATTCCACAACTTTTTATTGGATTGCTGATCAATATTTGTATTTCGCTCTAATTCAAAAGTTTCATTGAGTTAGTAAGTCATCACTAAATTAACGATTTTCCAAAGTTTGTAGCTTTACATTCTTTAAACCTTCAGTTATAGGATTAAAGGTGCTTGCTTATTATATCTCCTGCATTTACGATTATAAAATATAATTATGAAGTGGTTTCAAAAATTTGAAAATTCTAGAATCTTGAAAAAATATAATTTTAAATTTCTTTTGTTACAGGAAGTTTCGTTCTTGTATGGAAACGTGGCATAGCCGTTTTGACAGCCGGACCTGTCAAAGTAACTCCTGATCCGCGAGTTCGACTGTTACCCTCTCCTGCAACATCCATGGGTAATTTACCCGGTGTACCTGGATTTACTGGTGGTGGTTACAGTTTGGAATTAAAAGATGTCCGACCACAAGATGCTGGCGACTATGTGTGTCAAATAGGCACCCTAGAACCACAAGAAATCACCCACACTTTAGAGATACTCGGTAAGTTGGTACTTAAATTATTTTAAAATAGATAGTCATCTATTCTATACTACATGATAATGTTTTGTAACGTATTATAAAATAATTAAAGCTTCCTCCTCTCAAATGAAGATTTGCTTTGTTACTTGCTTTAGCTTCCTTCCTCGAAACTTATATTATAACTTAATATACCGATAACTATGGAGTCCACATAGGTACTGTACCTAACATCTCGTAATGTTCGTGGGTTTAACAAAATTAACTTCGTAGACTGATAACGACAAAAACTATATATTTACACTAATTATTACAGAACATAAAAACACTATTAAATTATTACTAAACTTAAGTTATGAATTATTCTATTTATTTACACTACTGTTGATATATCACTATTCACTGCGCTATTTATTTCACTGCTATCCCTGTCAATTTATTTCTGAATTCACTTCTGCAACGATCAATTTATTTCTACTCCTCTCGGCGATCGTCTCTTCCTTTAAATACTCTCTTATTTACTTTCGGGAACCTTCTCGAAACGTCCGGAAAATTTCTTTTTTCTTTGAACTGTTTAACTGCTTTCCCAGAACGCAGGTACGACACACACACTTACAAATACGGCGCACATGAAGAAAGACGCCCGCGGCTAGTCGGCGAATCGATAAGCCGTCCACACACACGTGTGCCCGATCGCACACAAACACACTCGTGCTCGCTACAATATGCTACTGACTCAAGAATATCGCCAATTAAAGAGTATCTAAAATATTTTCGTATTTTGAATACCAGTCGAATCACTACTGAGGTTACTGAACCAAAATTCACTCTTTAATTGGAAGAAATAAAGAATAGCAAGGACACAATTATGTAATTCCATTTTTTATGTTATAATTAACGACGCTCACTTTCAAATGAGTGGTGCTTTATCAGGAAAACATTGGGTTTAAAAAGTATGTTAAAAGATTACAAATTTCGTTGTAGGTTGGAGAAATTTAAATTAAATGCTGATCAAAGTAACGCTTTCTTCATTCTACAGAATAAATTAACCGACAGTAACTCCACAAGAACGCAATTACGTAATTTGATTCATGGCTCCTAAAATTATCGACCACTACTTTATGAAAATATCTGTAAATCCTAATTGCAATTTTATGATGGGTTTCATCGGCAAATTGGATTCAAACTTAAATTCTCAGTATTTATTCTAAACGACATTTCCAGTATTCACTAGTATCTTATTGGTTCCCTACTTTGATCAAATTATTTCTAATTCTTCCTTATCACCTTTTTTACAATTTCTTTTCAAAAACTAAAGTTTGTTCTGATCAAGTCTTCGTTTCGTCTACCTCAAGATTGTAACCTTACGCTCCAATTTCATATTTTATTTCTTCGTCCTATCACCAGAACAAATCGAGTCCTAAAGTTTCTTTAAAGTTACAATACAATACAAAGAAGCTGTCGGTATTATAAGGCGGTAGGAACGCCGTTTCTTTTACGCCATTCGACAAATATTATATTATTATTATTCTATATTATATTTCTGTTCACAATAGTTCGAAATTGCAAATTTTAGGACTGTGGATTGCTATTAACAGATTAGCTGCTGAAGCTTTTTAGAGTGACTCCTATTAAATATATTATCTAGATGTGTAGATGACAGACTAATCGAATCTACCTCGTCAACTCTCTGTCTCTTTCTTGGCAAACACTAAGTCGGATAGAGATGTCCACTAACACTTTCGATTTTTAGACAGCGTTGCCAGACCTAGGCAAATTTTCCAGACCTACGAATTTTACAGCCAATTTACAGAATTTATAAATTAACTAAATTTTCGTACCAAATGAATCTTTTTTTTGTTTAAAGGTTACTTGCACATTAAAATTTGAATGAAATATTACTTGTGAATAACTAAGGAAAAAAAGGACTTCCTTTTTTGCGTCAAATGATATTTTTTTGTGGATAATTTTTTTGTGATATTAAAATGGATAGACTGTAACAAATTGATATTTTCAATTCTATTAATTAATGCGAAGATTGTTTTAGAGAGTGCATGTTCAACGATTCAATAACTATAACTGTTACAATAAATACGAAGGGGCTGGTATAAACGATCTTACTGGTTATTGTTCCAAATGGAGCATTTTTTTGTGCAAAGTAGCGTATGAATGTAGGTAATTTTTTTGCTGTTGAAACAAAATATTTTTACTGATTTTTATCTGTTTTTAATCAAACGAAATCATTGAAAATGCTCAAAAGATACTTTTGTTCACTTACCAAAAAGTAAAATTGTGATTGATTCCTGTCTAAGTCAAGTTATCGGTTAGGGCAGCAATGAAGTGTTGGATATATGTACATATATCTATTGCATTCTTTATATAAAATTAACAGAAAATATGTTAAGGTGCATGTAATAACTGAATGCGATTTTGGAAAAATTCAGTAGGAGTGAGAAAGAATCAGCTTCGAATTGATCAATAAGGTGTGCCCTATATTAAATACTACCCACTACTTCACAATTATTTTGATTTGGTCTATCTTGAAAGTGATCAGAGTATAGTTAGTGTTCTTTACCTTTTCTTACCAAATTAACAATAGGTGGAATACTACCATATTCGACACTCCAAGCAAAACAAAATCGATAATGTTAATAAAAGGCTTTTCGTATTTCACGAGATTGAAAAAATTTGTTAGGGTAATTAGTAAACGTTATTAGAGTCCCAAATTTTCATAATCCTGAAAATTAAATTTATTCCGGCCTTTTATGCTTATAATTTATGTTATTTTCTGCTATAGTTTGTACAGTTTTGTTGGGGCAAGAAAGAGCCACGTTTTGTGTAAAAAGTTGAGTATCTACTTCACTAGAATGCTAACAAACGTTTCCAATTTGCACGTAAATATATTCTAGAAACCAGGCCAGCGTGAGAATAAGGAAAAGTGGAGAACAAGCCAGGTCTGTTTTATTAAAATTTTATTTAGGTCATTTGAAAACGGGTGCCGGGCGATTGCCGATACTCCCCAGCGTCAGGAGCTGTTTAATAACGCACTTACCGCTTTTGCTCGTTTTCATAAACAGTTGAAAACTTATCCTTTCTGCAAGCAAATCATTGGGTTATGGGGGCGTGAGAATGGAAAGGGCAAAAGAAAAACTGCGGTAGAGACGGTGAATATAAACTGGGCTCCATGTTCAATTGAACAGAACTAGTAGCTACTGTGTATACCAGGAGTAGTCAACTTTATTGTATATAAAATCTACTTTGTACCTTAAAAGTGTGTCCCGATGGATTTGTTGTCATGAGTGTAGTCTAAGGGGGAAGAAGTTTCCGAGATAATAGTCTTGTGAAGAAGATTAATTTCCAGACCCATGTTTTGATAGCAGTATTCCGTGTATACGGTATCAAAAAAAATCGATTTTCCGATTCTTTTTCAACTTATTTGTTATCAAGTTATTATAAAAATGAACAGTATGACTGATAATTTGATTTCAATATTTCACTTTCGCGTTTTTTCTTTTTGGGCTAGGAAAATTTATCATAAAAGAATAATATACACCTCGTTCTGAAATACAGATATACGGCTTATTTACTTACGTAAAAACAGCATCAATAATTATTTAAATGGTCAAAATCTCAAAGCTACAGATAAAGTCAGATTTAGATTTTACTTTGTTGTCTTAACATTAATAGGAAGCCTGAATGCATTAAACTGTTGCTAGAAAGCTTTGTCTTCTACAATCGCTTTAAAGTTTGTGGTACACGGAATTCCACCCCAGACATTGCGAGCGATCAATGATGATCGATCAAAATTAACCTCACGATCGATCGGTCAATTGATGTAAACTATTACATTAAGACGTTGCACCAATAAAGCTGTAGACAGTTCACGCATGAATTCATTCTTCTATGTAACTTAATTGGATTTGAAAAAAAATTTTTCAAACAAAGCAGCATCTAAATTTGACGGACCATCCTTGGTCAATTGATCGAAAGTAACAATCATCATTACTAGTATCTTACAATAGCGTTGCGCAAAAGAAAAGGAAGCGTTGGAGATGTGGTGGTATAGGTGGATGTTAAAAATACCATGGATAGAAAGGGTTAGAAATGAGAAGATATTAGAAAGGGTACGAGAATTGAGGATGTTATGAAAGTCAATAATACGAAATATTTTTGTTAGTGTTATGTAAATACTTGCTCAAGAGAGGGAGAAGCGCAAGTGTGTGTCCAAGTAGTAATTGGGCTAAAAACATTATGATGATAAAAAAAGGATTTTGACAATTGTATTATATAGTTGGGATGTTCAAAATTAGCATAATCCGCAATAAAACTGCCCCGGGTTCAAAGACCGGCGAGGGTGTGACAACAACAACAAATTTTCCATCATTAACCTAAGGTAGTTTGTAGAGACTAAAAAAAAATTAAATTCAAAAAATTGTCATATATATTTTGTGAAGATATAACTGTCTAACTGGCGAATAGTCCGTAGTCCTCTAAATCAGTTTTGTTAAAGGAGGTTGGTTAAGAATAAGAATATAATTTGTAAAAAAGAGGTTTTCTTTATAAACAATGTCAGTGACGTAGCGTGAGGAGGGCGTCAAAAATGTTTTTTTCGGTATTAGATATTCTACTTACATTTAGCACTACATAACCTTAAATATCATAAATGTCAACAACTAAATGATGCAGAATTATTGAAATGTTAAAACTTTGCAAGAGCATGAAAAAAATACGCCCTTCATCATCATAAGGTCGTCAGTCCTAAGACAGGTTGGACACGCACCTCCACTTTTTGAAAGAAAAAAATTATGCGACAATAAAATACTAACGATCAGAAAAGTGATTGTATACCGTATTTGAAGAATCGAAATCATTACATTTCATCATAAATTCTAAAATGGATCCTCAAAATCCTCTCACTATTCTGAAGTATGTGCAAGTTGCATTGGTGCCTACGTAATGCTGAAATGACCCCCTTACCCACGCAGCAACCCTGGGCAGAGCAACTGCCGTGATGTTTGAATATC